TAAATAGAAAGTGAAAATTGAGTATCCTGGTTCGGTTGCCTTTCCTTCCTTTCACTGACTACATTGTTGTTAAACACCTTCTTTGGGTGTGAAGTGAACCTTAGTGTGGTGAGGCTTCGGGGCTCTGGACTCAGAGCTACTGGGTGTTTGGCCTCCAGCTCTGTTGCCAGTAGCTGTGTTACTGTGGGCAAGTTCCTTCTCCTTTCTGACTCAGTTTCCTCATTTGTAAAACTGGGACAGTGCTGGCAACCTCCCACCCCTTCTGGGAGTCATTGTAAGGACTGAGATACTCCACATAAAGCTCCAAACCTTTTACTATGTCTGGCATTGTTATGTGCTGGGCTCCAGAAACAAAGATAAACCCTGCTCTCATGGCGCTTCTACTCTGATAGGGGAGAAAGATGTTAATTGACTAATTCTATAAATGTAAATCGATTTAATGTGGGAACCTGACCTTGACTGAGGCACCAGAGAAAGCTGCCCTGAGGAACTGACTTGGTCCGGGCTGAAGGGTATCTATCTGTGTTTTCTAAGTAAAACAGGGAGGGTGATATAATGCAGGCAGAGGTTCTGCTGCAAAGTCCCTGTGGTCTGAGGCATGTGGGGGCTTTGGACAGTTGAAAGACCAGTGTAGCAGGGCACAGGGAACAAAGAGTTGACCAGGGACAGATGACTTCCTATGCAGAACATGTGTAGTATGATTCAATGCAATTCATAAATTTATTATTTTTATCATTTATTTTTACATCATTCTTCATTTTGTGCCTTTTCCCATCTTGGTTGTAATCCACCACCAATTCACCCACGTGTCTTCACCATAGACCTGTGCACCTTTCCCACCCCATTTTTGATCCCATTCTCCACTCCACCCCCGTAAAATGTCTCCGGTATATAATTGTTCATTGTTTTTTTGTTTTTTCTTTATTACAATTGCTTTCCGTCTCCCTCCCCCAGTCCCACCCATCTCTTATGCTCCTGCTATGAGTGAAACCATCTGGTATTTTGCATTTTCTTTCTGGCTTATATCACTAAGCATGATCCCTTCCAGCTCCATCCATGTTGTTGCAAAAGGTATGAGTTTATCTTTTTGATTGCTGAGTAATAATCCATTATGTATATGTACCACATCTTTTTAATACAGTCATCTACTTTTGGGCATTTGGTTTGATTCCACGTCTTCCCTATTGTAAATAGAGCAGCAATAAACATGGGGGTGCAGGTGTCCTTGTGAGTCAATGTTTTTGTGTCCTTTGGGTAAGTACCTAGGAGTGGGATTGCTGGGTCATATGGAAGCTTTATTTCTAGCAAATTTATTTCAAATGTCTTTATTTGAGAAACCTCCAAACAGCTTTCCATAGTGGTTGTACCAGTTTGCATTCCCACCAGCAGTGCAGGAGAGTTCCTTTTTCTCCACATTCTCGCCAGCATTTGTTGTTGCTAGTTGTTTGAAGATGTGCCATTCTCACTGGGGTGAGGTGGTATCTCATTGTGGTTTTAATTTGCATCTCCCTTATTACAAGAGATGTTGAACATTTCTTCATATGCTTGTTGGCCATCTGCACTTTCTCTTTAGAGAAGTGTCTTTTTAGCTCTTCTGCCCATTTTATGATGGGGTTGTTTTCTGAGTACAGGTTCTCCCACTTCCTGGATGAGAGATAAGAATTGCCTGCACAGGAAAATTACAGGCACTCAGGATCCACTTCAGGCCTGGGGCTGGGACTGCTGACCTTTGTTTCAGTAAGGATTGGGAAACACTACTGAGGGCATGTAAAAGCAAAGAGAACCTAACCCCATTTTAAAAGCAATTGGCAAGAAGATCCTGGGGAACTGAGACTGACTTGGCTTGACTGTATTGTGTCTTTTGCCCATGACTTTGGTTTTTACTGAGGGTGATAAAATGAGAACAACTGCTGGGACAGAGCCAATTCTTAGCCACTTCACAGTGATTTCCAATCATTTGCATTCAGGCCCAGGTCTCTGGCTTTTTGTGAGTGCAGGAAAGATGCCAGAACAGCTTCCTTTTAGAATTAATCTTATGCTGGCTTGGGCAGCAGGCCTCTGATTTTTACTCTCTGAGGTGTCTTATCAAAAGCCTGACAGAACACAAACGGGTAAAATTATAGGCTTTGTAGTTTAATAACATCACACCAGCATTTGAAGGGGGGTGGCAAGGTGAGCTCAGGAACGATCTGGCACCCACATGGTACCTGAAGGCACAGAAGCCAAAAGCCATGCTACCCAGCTTTTGGAAAAAGCACCATTTTAATGTGATGTCATCTGGCAAGAGACTGGAGACTCTCAGATGAGTCTCCCCTAGGATGAAGCATTGGACAGTGTTCGGTTGAAGAACAAATATAAAAATGGAAGTTGGTAGAGTCTAGTGGGTTGCTTTCTGCTAAATTATGATGCATTTGGAATATGGGTGCCACTGAGCACCCCTGCTTCTGAACATTATCCATTTAACCATGACTAAGGCATTTTTGTTATGTTGTCATGACTGTTTTCTCTCCAGATGATGAGCTGTCCCCTCAAGGACAGTCCACACTCTCTGGGTCTGACTCTGAAAAGCAACTTGGAGACTTACGAAAAATCAACTTATTTTTTTCTCCTTTAAAATAGGGAGGACCATTTTTGTCCCGCCCTGCTATTCTCGCTAGATAAGCAGAGATAAGAAATGATCATCATGTTTTCAGATCAGGAGTCCAACAAAACTCGTGTAGGAACCCAGCTCTCATGCTAGCTGCATATGACCTGGGCAGGCTGCTATCAGTTTCTCTCTCTCTCTCTCTCTCTCTCTTTTTTTTTTTTTGTTGCAAAGTTGCTATAGCAAATGAAAAAGAGAAAAAATATGTTGATATCCAGGACACAGTAGATGCTCGAGAAATGGTCAGCCATCGGACTCCCTTGTACATTGTTTTCCGTATGCAATTTAATTTTTTTTTTTTGTACTGTGGGTATAATGTGTTTTGTGGAAAGAACCTGAATCCCAGCGGGCAGACCTCTGTGACAGTGTGATGAGATTTCCCACCAATGTTCAATTGTCCATCTGCCCAGCCAGCCAGTATGATAGAGGATCTACTAAGGGAAAGATGTAGGATCTAGAAACTGGGAGTTGAGTCCAGCATCCCACTGAACACTGCCCTCAAGAAGCAGGAAAAAATGTCTTGAAGAAAGAAAAAGAGGCAGCAATTTACAGTGCAGTTCTGTGTTGTGTTTTCCACTCGGCATAAAAGTAGCTTCAAATCCAGTGTCTCCTTGGAGAAAGATTACTGGGTGACAGGGCTGTTGTTTGGTGGGGTGACGATCACCTTACATCTGGCAGCTACATCCTGCTCATTGGAGAAGGCCTCATTGGAGTGCGGGAGTCGGGGAGGAAAGGTACTTAGTGTGTGGACAGAAGGGCCCGGCCTCGGAAGTCAGGAGCGTAGCATAGGTTGGTTGGTCTGTCTCAAGGGAGATTCCTGGGGATTGGGGTTCTGGGTCTTGGGTTTTATGTTTCTTTCACAGAGCTTGGGAGTGTCCCATATCTGCCCTCTTTCTTGTGAAAGGTATCCTTGGGATTCTATTTAGCTTTTAGACCTGCCACTCCAAAGACCTTAGTAGGCTAGCTCTGACCTGCAGTGGGACAGGTCCCCAGCTAGAAGGTCAGTTTGCTCTTTGGTGTGGAGCTGATTTGTACTCGCAATGAAAGTCTTTGAGACCAGAATTTAAGAAGATAGACTCAGCTGACAAGTGAGTGTGACTCACATCAGATATCTGAAGACATGAAGTATGTTCTTTTTCTCCCAGTCTCAGCCTCAGAGAGCATGGCCAGGCTAGCGGAGAAGGCACTGGCTGAAAATGGGCATTTTTGTGAGGCTGAATAAATCTCTTTGCCTTTAAAGCTTAACCTCACCTAACCCCTGTTTTGCACTCTACTAATTAGATTGTCTAGAGGATGACAAAGGAGGTCTGTAACTATAATCCATAATTGCAGTCCACGGATTTCCCATTGGTGTTATGTTTTGTGGTTTTGTTTTAAATTCTCTCCTCCCCAGCCCCCAATTAAATTTCAAAGCTCCTTGAAGGCAGGAAACCTGTCAGTCATACATCTTGGTACTTCTTACAAATCTAGTGTAAATCTTTATAGATGCTGAAAAAAAAAAAAACTTGTTTGATTTAGTGATTATACACTGGCCCAGATTGGAAAAACCCAACACTGAATTGATAGTTAATGACCTTTGTAAATATTTCAGAGCTGAGAGGCACCAGTGACCATCCTGAGTGGCCAAAATTGACAGACTGGAAAACCAATGAAGACGGCAGACTAGCAGCTGAGAATGGACAAGGGTGGGGGTGAAAGCAAATGAATTTCCTACTGTAGTTCCTCTCAAGTTCAACAAAGCAAAAGTGGGATAGGAAGATAAAGAACTTGAGGGTGAGCCACATTGTACAGCACACATCTCCTCACCTGCTCGCTGCTCCCCTTAGCAGTGTACTTCCTCAAGCTGCACCCCACTCTGTCTCTGGTGAATCCTCTCACTGCTCCTGAACCTCTGGTCTGTAGCCCAGTTCTGTATGCATAAATAAATAAATCTTTAAAAAAAAACAAAAAGAATTTATCCACCTTCTCTCACAGTTGACATTTGAACTTGCCTGAGTTCTGAGGAATTTTTCCAGGTCCTACTTTGGTACATTATGTGGGGAGAGTAGCTCCCAGGAGTTGTATCTTAGCCAGTTACTACTAAATCAAGGCATTTATGACCTTGTCTGCTAGGTCACTGGAGTTTGAACCCTAGTGCAGATATGCAATGTTTTAATTTGTTGGTAAACGTGTGTGTGTGTGTTTGTACTCGGCTTGCACGTGCCAGTGTCCTGTGTATATAAGTTTATGCAATTGCATGTGACGTACACAATGAACTTAAGCGTTCAAGTTTGTGAATATGTTGTTTCTTGTTAGGAGTATCTTTAATTTTGTGCTGCCACCTCTTGGCCAGTGATCAACTGTCTGTCTTCTGTAGCTTGGAATTGCCATTGGCTTCTTGGTCCCTCCTGTTTTGGTACCCAATATCGATGACCATGACAAGCTCGCCTACCACATCAGCATCATGTTCTACATAATAGGAGGTGTGGCCACTCTGCTCTTCATCCTTGTCATCATTGGTAAGGTCACTAGTGGACTGATGGGTGCTGGGTTGTGGGGAAGGGAGGTAGGGAGGTTCTGCTGACTTTGACTTTGGAGGGGCCCTTGGACATGGCCCTAAAATCCGATGGACAGTTACAGAAACTAGACACCAGACTTCTAATGGCCCTCAGATGTTTCAGCCTGAATAGTTGCCCCTAGTACTGTGCTAGCGGGTTCTGTGCCTTCTATTAGTGCCTCAGTAAAGGTTTAGTTGTAGCTAACCAGACCCTCAATACAATGATCAGACTGTTAACCCTTGCGGAAGCCCCAGGGAGCACTGAGGATAGCACAGGCATGCCTAGTCCTCAACTCCTCTAGGAGTGAAGATATTATCATTCTCATTTAACAAAGAAAAAAATGAGACTAAGGGTGTTAAATAAATTATTCAAGATTAGATAGTTAGTAAGTGGCAGAGATCCAGTTCCAGCCGAAGCTGATCTAACCCCATGCTTTAAATTTATGAAAACAAGACAAAACAAAATTGACCTGCACACATTAATAATCTCATTGGTTTACCCAAGCATACTTGTGATCACCTTTTAAAATTTTTTCTTCTTTAAAATTAGGAGTATTATATGTTCAGTATGGAAAAATCTAGAAAATACAAGATATCATAAAAAATAACCATTTAACCTTGAACAAGTTAATCTCAGCTGTCAACTTTTAATAGTTAACCTGCACATACATTTAATCCTTGAAATACTTTATTAATGTAATTCTGTGTCCACTTTTTATAGGTCATCTGAGTGATATTACATGGACTGTGATACAAAAACAACAGAGTGTGGCTTTCTTTTTTAGTTAGTCACCTGTCTAAAGGTTAACCGGTTTTCTTTCAAATGTCCGAGTGTTCCACCTTGTGTTAAAGGTTTCATTCCTGCCTGCTGACCTCACCCCCCAGAGTCAAATAGTTTTATAATCATGCACCTCACTCAGCTGCCCCAGGGTCCAAGCTGAGGGAGGTCTGCCTGGGGGCTTCTAGAAGCTGACAGGGTATCTTGGACAGAGGACTTGATGTTCTTGGAGAGGTGAGGTGTTGTGAAGCTGTGGAGGAGAGTAGGAAAGAATAATACAGTCAGGGATTCTCATACTCAGCCAGACTTCTGGGGCTCAGATGTGATGTGCCCAGCTCCAAATTCTTGTGTTTGGAGCAGCAATGAGGACTTGGTTCTTTGAGGTTGAGATTCTGCAGGTGTAGGCCATGTCTGCGTTTTGGTATTTTACTATCAAGCACAGATAGTGGCTAATTAAGTAGAGAACTGAAAAATGCTATCTGAATTTTGGTTGGTGGCTGCCTCATCCTTGAGCAAACACCTGCTGTCACAGAGATAAGTGGCCTCCTGCCTTGCTTTCTTTCCCCTGATGAAAGGGGAAGAGAGCAGGCAAAACAATGGGGGTGAGTTTTCCAACTGTGCGGAAGGCTGGAGTGTTTTCTGGTGGGAACCACTTTGATCTTCCAAGAGTGTAAAATCTTGTTTCCAGAGCTTCCTCTCACTGGAGACAGTCTACTGACACATCGAGTATTCTTGAGGGGCGGGGCGGTGGGGGGGGAGTTTGGAGGGCATGTGTTGCTTGCTTGACTCACATGGGGGATCCCTATAGTCAAAAACTCAAATGGGGGATCCCTGTAGTCAAAAAATCGGCTAAACTGATCTGTCCCCCCCAGAGAAGTGAATGGCAGTCAACACAGTCGGTTGTACTGAAAATACACTCCAAATTACACTATAATAGGAGTGGCTTTCGGGCCCTCCCTGGTGGCACAGCGGGTTAAAGCACTGCACTAAGAAGCTTAAGCCACTTCTGCATGAGTTCGATTCCCACCTGCCCCGGAGGTGACCACATGGCACGGCAGACCTCTCCTGACCCGCCCGCTGCTCCCCTCAGCAGTGTACTTCGTCTATCTGCCTGTTCTGCTCCCCTCTCTGTCTCTGGTGAATCCTCTCTCTCCGCATCTCTGGCCTGTACCCCAGTTCTGTATGAATAAATAAATAAATCTTAAAAAAAAAAAAGAGTGGCTTTCCCATGGTCCCCCCAGTCCTTCCTGCAGAGTGCCTGCTTCAGGAATGCACATTATTCCTTGGGAGGCAGACGTCTGGCTCAGACGTGGGGAAAGTAGGAACGGACTGCAAGCTTCTTTTTAACAGAAGAAGATCGCTTTTACTTGCTCAGGGAATATTTATTGTGTGCTTTGTCAGAGTGTGTGCTTTGTCAGACTCTGCTAAGCACCAGCAATGGGTCCTCCCTTGCCCCTTGGGAAGAAAGCGGGTGCTAAGTCATTAACTGGGCCCACTCATCCCAGAGCTTCAGCTCTTACTTCCCTTCTGATTACTCTGAATTTTGTTCGGTACTCTGAAGTATTTACTTGCAGGTTATTATGGGACTCCGTGATCCTTGAATGCGCCTGGGAGGCCCAGTGATTGCAGTCTTCCAAAGGCTGTTTTAAAAAAGTAATTAAAGTACCACTTACTTAGCCACAGTAAGAAGCAGCTTTAAAGAGGAAACTATAAATGATTTTTTTAAGTTATATGTTTTTATTTTTTATAACAGTTTATTTTTACATCATTTTGTACATTATGAACAATTTTTTTAAAAGATTCTATTTAGTTATGCATACAGAGCTGGGGTGCAGGCCACAGGTGCAGGCACCGGGAGAGGATTCCCCAGAGACAGAATGGGGAGTAGAACAGGCAGATGGATGAAATACACTGCTGAGGGGAGCAGCGGGCAGGTCAGGAGAGGTCTGCAGCACCATGTGGGTCACCTCCGGGGCTGGGGATCGAACTTGCACTGAAGAGGCTGTGGCTGGCTTGCAATGCTGTGCTTTAACCCTTTGCACCACCAGGGAGGGTCCAGAAACTATAAAAGATTTAACTGAAGAATTATTATTTCCTTTGGGAGTCTAAGCTCCCCTCAGATGGTAGAGCCAGCTCTCATCCACGTGCCCGCTCTGGGGAGGTGGGACCACGGGTTTGCTGTGACTCTCTGCTGTTTCCTTTCAGTATTCAAGGAGAAGCCGAAACACCCTCCTAGCAGAGCCCAGTCCCTGAGCTATGCCTTGGCGTCCCCTGATGCTTCATACTTAAGTTCTTTTGTCCGGCTCTTCAAAAACTTGAACTTCGTGCTGCTTGTCATCACCTACGGTAAGGTGCCGTTGTGTGCGGGGGCCAAGCTGAGCATGGCCCTGTGGGAGGATGTCTGCTGTGTCTGAGCATCTTCCTCGTTCCAGATCCCAAATGTGCCTGTGAGTGGTTGCTTAGAGTCAGAGAGACAGCGGGGCCCTAGGGCCTTTGCATGTTCTCTAAAGTCCACATAACCCCTCCAAGGGCAAGCACCCGCGGGGCGTGTTGGGTGCCCGTTCCTCTCATTGGGCTGCCCCGGGTGTATCTCAGCACTCAGATGCTTCCACCTCTGTCTTCCCACTGCACTGTGATGACCTCTGCCAGCTGGGGGCTTATTTCTGTCTTTCATCTGTAGAGTTCTCAGAGGAGCCCAACCCAAGTGGCCGCTTGCTCGCTCCAACGGCTGTGGGGTGAGCGGGTGAATGAAGGAACGTAGACACGGGCCTTGCTCCTGAAGCCCCGCTGACTCCTTGTTTTCCTGGAGGCAAGACCACAGCCTGCTCTTATTTTCTTGTGTCGTGACAAATAAGACAATTTGGATCTTCCTGCTGGTGTGAGCTTGCCTTGGCCAGCCTGATACTTTCTGCATCTTCTTTCGAAACTTTGATAAGAATGTGGGAGCAGACCAGGGCAGGAACCACACCCGCCACATTCCGCTGATTCCCCTGAAGAGCACCCTCACAGCCCACCCAGCTGGACTGCTGTCCAGCCTGCAGCTGGCCATTTCATTCACCTTAGTCTGGTTAAAACCTAGAGTCAAAACAAGGATAAAGTGATCAGTCACCATATGGAAAAAGTGAGATTGGGTGGTTTCATTAGAAACTAGAACTCAGAGAGTTTCAGCACCTAGCTGATAATCACACAGCTTTTAAGCAGCAAAGTCAGGGTTCAAATACAAGCTGATCGTTAACTCTGATGCTTAGACCCTGTAATGCTGGCCTATAATTGCCTTTTCCTTTCTTGAATTGTGCTAGGCTTTCATTTTATCAGTGTCCTTTATCTCAGTTACACATTTATCTTCTGCTGAGGCACTAGATAAGAGACGGTTTCCCAGAGTAGGGTCCTGCCTGTTTCTCCGGCAGGCGGGAGCTAGGTGACCTCCTATCTAGTTACTGATGGCCGGATTAGTCTTCATGGATTTATGCCTTTCTCAGCTCTCCCTATTTTCTCAGCTCTCTCTGAGTAGGTCTCTATATTTACCCACCTGGATCACGTTTCTCATACCTCAGATGTCCCACTAAGAAGGTATGAGTTGCCCACTCGTGGGAGATAAAGGGGACCAGCACTTGGCAGGGATTTTGTGGGGAATGGCAAGCTACGGATGGATAGTGAACCCAGATGACTTTTGGAGTTCCCTCTAGACTCCATGGGTCCAAGAACTTTCACTTTTCCCTAAGGTAAAACTTCTGGAGTGCATTGACCTTTTACCACCATAAAATGGTATTGCATCTGGTAAAAGGTCAATCCGAGATCTACCTGGGGAGTGCAGGGCAAAAGAGCACTTATTTTTTCCTATGGCTGAGAATGGTGCTGGTGGTAATAACAGTCAGTGATCCCCTTCCACAGACTGCGGTCTTCAGCCCTGGAGGCTTTTGACAGCAGGTGACCCATGAAAGCCAGAAACAAAAACAAGATGTCCCAGGAACAGTGTTCCCTCTTGTCCTTGAGCTCTGGGTGACGCTGTGGGAGTAGGGCCATTCCTTCTCCTCCCCTCTTCTGTGACTGGTTGCCTGCATGGTCTCTGAATTGACAGTGGTTTCAATTCTGTCCTTCTGTTTTCAATTCTGTCTTATCTGTTTGGTTAGATAATAACGCTGCCAATAAATCAGGAGGGACTTTTGGAAGGGTGAAGACCTTGGAATAGCTGTTCCTTCACAAAGCAATAGGAACGCATGGTTAAAGCAAACATTGTTTTAAAATCAGTTTTTCAGAACTTGTAACCAAAGTCTTGCAACAACTCAAGGGACCTATTTAAAGAATGATGGCTGAATATTGATCAGAATGGTGAACTTTGTATTGTATCTTGTCTGATTCCAACTCCCCTCCAGACTCTGTGTTAGGCTTGATAATCTGTATCTCGTAAGTGCTGTGCCAGTGAAAACCAACAGCTTCAGTCATGGTAACTATGAAGCTAGCACCCTCAAAGCCCCTTGAGGCGGCAGACCCCTTTTGGAGTGCCACCTCAAAGATGCTGTTTGTCATTTTTGGCCGATTCCTGGAAAAACCCCGCTCACAAAATTTCAAATAAAGGGCTTGCCTTTATTTGACCTGAATTGGAGCTTACTCAGTGGGAAAAGTCCTATTTCCAGGGCATTCATTGAAAATAATCACTGGCACTGTTTACCATCACAGATGCCCAAGGACAGTGATACCAGTTGGGGTAAACAAGAGACTGGTCAAAAACGCAAAAGGAAAATCTGGAGAAGATGATCCTAGAGGATTTTGAAAGGCTCTGACACCTCCTTAGGGATCTGGGAAATCCACATACTTATTCAGCACTGTGCTTGTGCCCTAAGAGACTTAAAAACAGTTGCCTCTGGCCTCCCTGGAGGTGCTGCACAAGCAGGAAGTGAAAGCTAAGGCAGCTAGAGGGTCAAAGGTGAGACATAGATACACCCTTGGCAAAGAGGGAGGCCTATTGGTTTAAGGAACTGTTTCTCTAGTCATGAGTTTACCCCTAGGTGAGTGGACTGGAGACTTTAGTGGCTGCACATGAGAAAGACAGAAGACTTCACAAAATTAATCTGGGAAAGCCACTGAACAAACAGCAGCACTGGCAACAAAGGCTGGGGGTAGAATCTCCTGTCTAGAGTTGCCGTGCTACATTGAGAGTGTCTAGTTTCCAATACAAAATTATGAAACATGCAAAGAAACAGGAAGGCATAGTCCATCCATAGTTAAGGGAGACTGTCCTCAAAGAAGCCCCTGGGTTTTTTGCCAAGTAGGAAATGCTTCTTAGGCTCATTCACAGATTTAAAGAAAAGTTGCATTGAGTCATTATTGCATGTCAGGCATCTTGTTA